GTGAGAAAAATGATTTATATGATCTTTCTGCGTAGAATTTCAATGTTTCAGAAAGCATGAGTTTTAATTTTTTTTTTTACATCACTTTCATTTTTAAGAAAAAACACAGGGCAAGATTGATATTGAAACCGTACCTTGTTCTTAGTAAAACATGAAGAAAGTACATGCGTCGTTCTTACATGTACATTTTTGTCAAGGTCATCACCTCTCAATTGTCTGTTTCTTTGAAGAAAATACGTACAATATATAGTTCTTTTTTTAGGACATTTAAGGAAGATATCACAAATTACTTATATTTATACGATGGCCAATATCAGCTTGTATATTTTCAAAGTGTTTCATGAATTTGTACACAATTTAGACGTGCATTTTACACTGCCAACAGACTTTTTATGCCTCCGTATCGAAGATTCGGGGGTATATAGTTTTTACCCTGTCCGTCCGTCTGTCTATCTGTCTGTTTGTTTGTCCGCAAAAACTTTAACCTTGTCATAACGTTTGATTGGTTGGAGCTATGGCTTTCATATTTCACGTGTGTATTCCTTGTGACGAGACCTTTCTTTGGGTACCACCATATTTGACATTTTGATCTTGACCTCGGAGTTTGACCCAGTTTTGCAAAATTTTACCAAACTTTAACAAAGGCCATAACGTTTGAACAACTAGTGCTAGAGCTTTTATTTTTCACATGTGTAATCCTTGTGACAAGACCTTCCTTTGGATACCAACAACTTTGACCTTTTGACCTTGACGTAGGAGTTTGACCTACTTTTGAAAAACTTTAACCTTGGCCATAATTTTTGAACAGTTGGTGCTATGGCTTTCATACTTTACATATGTAATCCTTGTGACAATTCCTTTCTTTAGATACCAACAGCTTTGACCTTGACCTTGGAGTTTGATCTACTTTTGGAAAACTTTAACCTTGGACATAAACTTTGAAAGGTTGGTGCTAGGGCTTTCATACTTCACATAAGTAATCCTTGTGACAAGTCCTTTCTTCGAATACCAACAACTTTGACCCTTTGACCTTGACCTTGGAAAACTTTAACCTTGATCATAACTCTTGAATGATTAGTGCTTCGGCTTTCATATTTCGCCTGTGTATTTCTTGGGAGAAGGCCTTTCCTTGGGCACCATTAATTTTGACCATTTGACCTTGTTCTTGATGTTTGACATACTTTAAAAAAAAATGTTAAGCTTTTTCATATCTATTCAATGGTTGCTGCTAGGGCTTTCATATTTCACGGGTATATTCCTCGAGACAAGACCTTACTTTGAGTACCAACATGTTTGATTTGCATTTGAGAAAGTTTAACCTTTGCTATAAGTTGCCATAGGGGTGCATCAGTGTTTCACAAACACATCTTGTTTTTAATTGGTTTTAAACTTTGTAGCTGGAAAAATATACATCATATGCATGGGCATTTTTAAAGTTGAAAACAGATATCGATCAGTGTCGGCAGTTTGAGACTGAAATCTGTTCGTTGTCACTGTGAAAAATGAAAGTGCCAAATGTACATTTTCGGTTACAAATTTCAAAAACCATCAATTAAAAAATGTGCGTGTGCGTCGTCAGAGTACAATGAACCAATCAAACGTACGATTAATGTGATCACATTTCAGATTTTTTCCCCGAAATTGTGGATGCTGATATCGGCCATCGTATGAATTAGTAGTATTTCCTTTTACTTTTATATCTTTGGTTTCTAGCTTTGCATTGAGTTGAAATTCATTTATCATTGATTAAAACATTAAAAAAAGTAAAATTATTTTTAGACAGCGAAAAAATGTAGTGATATTTTATTACACTTCCGATTAAAATAAAAACATCGTTCCAATTTTTATTATTAGAGTCACATCCTCATCTCCTTTGTCAAATGATAGAATGGTATTTAAAAAAGCAGATTTTAACCCAATTTTGCTCAGAAAAGTGAATAAAATTTATCTCTCTTAATTTTTCCATCCATATGAAATTTTTGCAGTTAAAAAAAATCTTGAGGTTTTACATTTTACAAAACACTGTAAATATTTTGATAATGACCTATGATATCTCCTATTTTTTCCTGATATAAATGACAAAACTTAATTCTGGACGATTATGGATGATTTATAGCTATATGCTGATCATGGGATATCTAACTCGCTAAGCCATCATTCATGACGATGCAAAGGTCCCCTTGAGATTGTGTTAAAATGGATCTTTCTTGTGCAGTTCATTATTATTTAAATAAATAATCGAAGTTGACAGGTCAAGTAAATGCTTTCGCAAGAGATTGAAAATATTTAGTGATAAATTCAGAGGGCAACGTAAAGTATTCACTTATACTGTTTCTTTAGTATCAGTAAGAAGCATTTTCTGCTTATGTTTAAGATAAGTGTTCTAGAGTAGATAAAATGTAAAATTGAGGGCATTTAGCTCCTTTTTGAGTTACCTTTTTATATTAAAGTATCATTTCTTAAGCCTTGGAGAAGAGCGGGTTCGTTCACATGGGTTCCTTTAGAATTGCACTCTGCCTATACAATGCGCATATGCATAAAATGGTTATCGTACTGTAATAATGTAGCAACAACAACCACCATATGTGGAGAAATAATGTTTAAGAACGATATTAGATTAAGGTTCAAAATATGCCTCTTTAGAAAAGAATTTGCAAACAAAATTTATTATTTGAAACTGAGAAAACACAAATTGATTCCTCATACTAGTATATAAATTTCGCAGTATGTTAAAGAACAATAGTTTTTGACTTTACGTGATATGATTTTAGGAGAAAAAATGTCATTATAATAATGCTTTAATTACTTCCCTTTTAATTCCACGTAAACTTAAGGTGTAAAGTTTCGAAGATATTACCACTAAACGAAGGCCTGTAAATTCACATTTTCATTATATCATACTAGTTCCAGTTTTACATCACCCTATATATTAGTTTCTTAAGAAGTATTCGATTCTCCATAGAAATAACAACATATTTATTGCTCATATGATAGTTTTCAGAACATATTCTGTCTCCAAGGCGTTTCAGATTATCTATATTCGATTCATTAGTGGAGATAAGCAGTAATTTGTAAAGCAACATAGGTTGTTGTCTCCATACACCCACAAGATTTCAGATACAGAGTGCCGCCCACGCCTTATTAGAGGAAATCAAAAACATCAACAATAAACTTAAAGGCTTCATAACTTACTGAAACTATAAAGATTTTAGAAGACATCGTAGCTCGGCGTAATTTCTCAAATCAATAATTGTCTGCAAAAGAAGGAATAGTTATAAGTATTTTTTTTCTAAATCAACGTGTTCAGCAAGATGATGATTACGTACCCTGTGTGTGTGTACATCATCTCTATAATTAATCGTACATATATTTAGTCTGCATTACTAAACAGTGAAATAAATAAATAAATAAATAAATAAATAAATAAATAAATAAATAAATAAATAAATAAATATATAGATAAACTATATAATTCATATTCTCTGATGTTTCCCCACCGTGAGCATATCATCATGCAGGGGCTTAATCTTGAAAAAAAAAAAAAAAAAGAGAGGCATTGAAAGGACCAAATTTGACCCTCTTCTGATGTTCAAAATCACAGATAATTGTGATAGTTTGTAACTGAAAAACTGCAAAGGAGAGTTGCTTAAAAACAATATTGATTTTGAAATATAGCGTATATATAAATATATATACTATATATAAAAATATAGTACGAGGGCAAAAGTTAGTACACTTGGCAGATACATGTAGGCTAGCATTTAGTCTAAGTTTCCTGAAGGAAAATTTCCTTCATAATAAAGGTAGAATCAAGAAAAATCATGGGAATTCGGATATTACTCAACTATTCTGACCTTTCCGTAACCTTATAATGTATGGTATTATTTATGATCAATTCTAATTTTAACACGGCAAAATTAGAGTTGTTTATTTATAAACATTACTTTATTCTAAGTGTCGCTAATAACAGGGTATAAATGGGTCTTTAATCTACCTAGTCCTTCGTCAAAATTAAGAAAAAAATTGTTAAGAAGTTTCGGCAGCGCGTAAAAATGCTTTCTTTAAACTTCCTTTAGGAATAGAGACCCGAATCACTCGTTTATGAATTATGCGGTGTAGATCATCTATCCAAATAAAATAAAATTGTGACCAAGTTGTTTAAGAGAAAATTTTATCAAAGGTTTTACGTTTCTCAATTTTATAGCCTTAGAATGAGTTGTAGACCTCTATAAATTGGAATTTTCATACTCATGAGATTTCGTTGCAAAGTCAATCAAAAAACAAATCTATTGTTTCTTTAAAAGGATTTGAAAATTCAACAAAAGCCAAACAAAGAGACTGATAGACATTGGACTTATTTTTATCAGAATACATGTAGTTCATTCAATATTTTTGAGCAGATTACCTAAATATGCCCTCTACCCTTGTTGCAAACTTGATATAAGAAAAAAGTTTTAGAAGAGCTCAACAGCATCGTTAGGCATTATAAAAGCCTTCAATATCGTTTGAACTTTTCAGTTATACACGGAACGAGGAAAAAAAAGTTAAAAACTGTATGTACCGACAAAATAATGATACATTAAAAACCCTATTCATGTGATAAGCTGAAGTTGGAAATTCAGAAGTTATATAAAATAAGTTTGCATTCCTTACCAGGAAATGATAAATGTATTTACGATTTTAGTATAAATTGAACAGTAACATTTAAAATTGATGGGGGGGGGGGGGGGGCTTCAAATATTTTTTCTCATATATATCTACGTTTGTTTTGATGAAATTTGTCGGAATAAAGAAGATCATAGGCTTTTTAATAAAGTTTCTTGTAACTTCGTAAGTAATGTATTCTTTCATTTTATGAGTAGTTTTGAAGACGCCATATCAAAAAATGCACCTCTGAATATTAAAATTCATCATTCCCACACCCAGTCCTGATCGGAGAGACATCAATTTTCAAATACGTCATGTCATTTCATTATGGAAAAAAATCAAGGAAGACTTGATTACATATATCAACATTTTATTGAATAACCACACAAAAGTGCGGACATACACGGAAACAGACAGCACTAAAGCGAAAAAATACAAAAGAGTATCAAAACAAATTCATCAGAGACCATAGTAGTCTAAGATTTTACAGCACTTTCTTAAAAATATCCAGACAGAGCTTGTAAATTGATAAAATCATGGTAATTACTATGTCCATTCTACTTGATTTTCTTTTTAAAGTTTGTTCAGAGACAAATTGGTCTAAGAATACAAAAAGGAATTTTTATGGATAACCTTTTAAGGCAGGTAATCATAATCTTCAAAAAAGATAAATAGTAGTATTTATAAATGTCGTACAGGATATCTGTATGATAATCAACGGTACCATACCAAAAACAAGACAACATTACCGACAATAAAAATAGAGGTGGTGTTATGATAGGAATTTTATCGTAATATTGAAAACATGGAAAGATCGCATGAAAAAACACATAATTAAAAAGTGGAATGAAATAGTGGGATGTCTTAATAAATATATGACTGGGATGTACAATGATACATTTTCTATAATACTTTTCATCTTTCATTATAGACTATCCTTTTCCTTGATTCATTTCTAAGTTTTTCTCATCCCAAAGGATTTCTTTGGCAAAATTGATTGTAATATAATTGTTTAAAATTTACAACATTTGAATTTGACAAAAAAAAAGTCCTTGCACAATTTCAAGGACCTGTGGTAAAGCTTATAAATACAATCTGTAATTTACATTCCCATTTTAGCACAATATCCACAGTTGAAATTTTTATATAAAGATACAAAGAAAGTTAAGTTTCACAAATCTTTGAGATCAAAACACTGGACTTTTTACACAACATTCGAGAATAAACACGTTGTACATTTCAAGCGTAAATCAACGCAAATTGAGATCACAGAACCAAAGCTGATTCCACAGGACAATGTCCTCAAAATACACCATTTTCAAGCACCATCAAATCAGTATCAGTCCCCCCTCTCTCTCTCAAGCTACATACATCAACAAAATAACAATCCGTCTGGTAGACGTCATTTCCTCAATGCTCAAGCGCTCTAACCTTCTTTTCCCGCCTTTGATTTGAAAACAAGTGTCAAATTCAGCGAAGAAAAACAATTTGTTGCTTTCAACAAGACCGCCAAAATGACAATAGCAACATGGGAAGTTGCAGGGAAAAAGTGTATGTAAATGATTGTCCTCAATATGGTCGCCATACTGATGAGACGTCCGCAACAGTGTTCAAATTCGCGCCTTGACGAACAGGAGAATTGTTGGCGTCTGTAACGTGAGTTTCCATTGGTTGCATGATATTAGCGCGAACTGCTTCCATTCTTGATCTTTCATCAACGTCGTCTCGGATCATTTGTCTGTTTGGACCCTCAATTGGCAAGCGCGGTGGAGTACCAGAGAGAGGGCGCTCTGCTCTCACTGTATTAATTTCCTGTGACCTCTGACCTAAAATTGCGTATGTTCTTTCTTCTGGGAACAATATACTGGATTGCATTGGTGGCTGATTTGAATAAATATGTGGATAAAAGGGTAATGTTGGAGACGTGCTCAAATATGATGACGTCATGGTCGTTGGTGGGTTAATTCGATCCAGAATTTCGTTTGTGGTCATCATGGGGTAACTATTATGGGATCCAGGTATAGGCAGTGATATTTCCCGATTAATTTCTCTCGAAATGTTTTCTGATGCTCTTAAGATTGCACTTTCGCGAAGAATTGCGAGATTTGAATTTGTAGATGGATATGGCGGTAAACTGGAGGAACCAAACAGGTGTCTAGAATCTTGAAAACGAGACTCGGACATTCGGTGTTCGGGAAATCTCGGGAACAGCGAAAGTTGTTGATCAAGTGAAGATGATCTTTGTTCTAGAGTTGTTCCGTCGGCTCTCTGTGGGTCTGGAATAATGACAGGCATTGATCTATCCTGATTTGGGGGTAAAATGTCTAACTGAGTGTTATCCTTGGACATAATTGGAATTCTGTTGTCTTGAAGCACCTGGTCCATTGGTTGAGTGATAGGAGTGGCGGGGGTAATTTGATGCCCTGTAAGAAAGAAAGAAATTGACACTCTAGACTCTTCCTTTACATGTAATACCAAAAAGTGATAAAGGACGCGGAAAACAATCCCTTTCCTTGCTTCTAATGTCACTTCTCAGAACTTCATCTTTATTTCAATGATATATACATGTGTATCTATTCATTTCAGTTTTACAGAAATTATTTAATAAAGCTCAGTATGATGTATGAAATGAAATTGTACTTGACTTTTGTATCTTAATGATTCATTAATTTTTCTGTCTGTCTTAAAATCCATATGTTAAGGACATTAACTATTCAATTAAATAATATATGAGCTGAAGAATGCATAATATTTCGACCAATTGCGCAAGTCTGAAATTAACAGAGCGGCTCAAATTACATCTAGTTGCGATCTATGGGACATTTTCTTAACTTGTCACTGCTTTCAATTTACACAACCAAGCAATTTCATATTTTAGCATTTTATAAGTTAAACTGATTATCGGCAATTCATATCGTATCATAAAAGGCAAAATAGTACATCTATTTGACTATTGTATTGAATAAGTATAGGATTTAAGTGATGGAACTGAAAATAAATATGTACAATGTATATTATGCATATCACTACAATGAAGGCAGCTAAAAAGTGTTAATTATTGAGAACTTGGTTGTGTATATTTAAAGCTTTCAAATCGCAAATCTACTCACTTCTGAAAATTTTACCTGTGACAGAGAGCCCTTGAGACTGGGTATAGGGTGGGACTGATGCATGGGTGGTGATGGAGGGGTACGGGGAGGGATCGAATCCCCAATGATTTCTTTTCGCAATTGGATCTGTAAAAAAAAAAGAGGTAAAATAAGCGTAAAAATGTAGGCCAAACTGTCAGTAGATTAAATTTATGGTTATCTGATAGAATATATTTCCATATATCAGACAGAAATTGTATTCTGCTAGGAATGTAGGTTATGGTACCAAAGCGTTCCTGGCAACCAAAAAGTTGGCGACTTATGTGCACAAGGGCAGTCACCATAGTGACCTCAACAGGAAGAAATATGGCGTGTCACCGTTTTTTCTGACGCACTAAAAATTCTTCTTTTAATACGATTATATTTTATATGCCAGATAGTGTTGATATGGTGACTTTGACTTATATAAATCGGAAATGGATCCAAATATTGATTTTTTTAATTCTCTTACATGACCTATCACATTTCAAAATTTTCAAGAGTCTTTCTTAAATTGTTTTTTTTTTTAAATCCGAGCTTACTAAATTCTTATGGTACAGTGGAACTAAATGCACAACTGGTCTAAAATTATCTTTATTCTTTAATATTTAATGCATGCATTATGCATGATTTTCTATCTATTTTATGAATCAAACTGCATTTTAGTAAAGGTATATAAATCATTGCCAATGATAAGTTTTTTTCAGTGTCTGACAACAAAGTAGATTAACATTTTAAGAAACATTAATTACAGATTTTCATCCCCAAAATTTCATGTAGCACTGTACACAATATTTTTTTTTTTTGAATAAGTGTTGCATAAAAATGTATGAAAATCAGAAATTGGACTTTTATTCGTTCATGTATTAAATATATTTCTCTGTATTTATTAATTTTTTACCATTGTGGTGAAAACCGTTGGAATCTGAGGACTGTAATCGTCTGGAGGCATCCCCCGGATGTGACGTTGGTCTACGCACTGGACCCCAGTCCGACATGTGTTGTGTAAATCGAGTGGATTCCAAAGGATTCGGAAATGGATTTCTGTCCGAGGGCATGTCGAGTGGACATCGAACCCGACGATCGTCAGTCCGCAGTTCTAAAAAGGAAACAATTACTTTTGTGATAAAAAATTCAAACGATTAGGGGAAATTAGAAAACATTCATGAAACTTTTCTTTGTGTAGCCCATTAATAGTTCCGTAACTAAATGCACGTTTAGTTCCAAAAATAAAAATTGACATTTTTCATAATCACATATTCTTTTGAGAAGTAGCAAGACGTCAGATTGTTTAAATAAAGAGAGCGACGACGGAAAAATTGACAATTAGGACGATTGTTTTCGTTGATTGAAGAACAATGTCTTTATTTATTCTTTGGTGTAAGTTGGGTCGCTGGTACAAACTTCTTTTTGATTTGCAGACCCGTGTATAGCTGCATATGACCGATTCGTTTATTCGTCGTATTCATGATCGACACATAATCAATTTATTATGCATAAATGTCATTTTTATTCTGTGGTATGTGTGGTTGCCCGTAGACCTTTGAATCTAACGCGGGGAACCATAAAATCGAGTAATTCCTCCATGTCGTATTCTGTTGTTATTTACTCGTCAACAAGGTTCGTTACAGGGCTAGTGTGTTGCAAGTTTCACTTCCCGAAAAGCAGCCATGCATACACCAGCACATTAACATCGTATGACCAACAGGAAAATTGGGAACTCCCGAAAAAAAGTTGGCATTCTTTCTACTTGTATCATATAGTACAGGAGGAAACACCTTATAAATGAATCGTAAAGGTCTTTTATCGAGTGTTTTGACATTAAATTATCGTAATTATCTAAGCTGCTTTTATATATATGCATGTGTAAATCGATAGAATATGCTTAATGCTAAAAATAATACCTATAATAGAGATAGCAATTCATAAATTTCAATCAGAATTCTTGGGTTCCTAATTTCTCTGTAAGTCCATTCTAAGTATTTCGGAAGTAATCAGTTTGTAGAGTTTTACGGCGATCATAAATGTCTGAAGCGGAACCCTGGTTTGCGGTTCACCAGACTTTTAACCGCTGGCGTACGAATACAAATTTGGTGAACACTTATTTTGAACTTCAAATACAAACACGAGAATTTCGTTAGAAGACGTGAAAGTTAAGGATATGGGGTAAATAATCCGTCACTGTCAATGGCGACATTTTATTAGAATATTTTATTGTAAGATATGATGCCCGTGATATTTTGTTTATTCATTTAGCCATAAAAAAGATGGATGGTTTGCATTAAATATCTCTAGTCTATTCATTTTAATTATGAATTCTGAACAGTCTGTAATAGATAAACTACGAGATTTCTAAAAGATGTATAGCTTGTTACATTTTAATCTGTCCTCTCCTAAAGTTTTATGTAAATTGTTTTGTGTTGTTGCAAACATAATTATTTAGCGACAATGCTCTTTGGTTTCCCCATCATTCTAATTCTTTCACACGCGTTTTTTCTTCTGTACACGTGCGTTAATTTTTCCATTTTCGACACGTGATACCCTCCTTAATTTTTCAACATCGGCATATGTCCCCCAGAAGTGAGTAGGGGACGGAATATTCCTATAACCCTCCCTGTTGGTTAATGCGAAGTGTGATCAATGAAAGGACTCAATCTCTTCTTTCCACAAGACAAAGTCTCTTATCTTTCAATAATGGTCTCAAACAATACAAAAACCCCGTGTCTCGTTTCTTTGAAACTGCAGTCTGTGAAGTCTCCCCCAAAACATAATACTTCATGCTAATTTTCACCATTGTAGAAATCTAACACCTCAGAAAGTCGTTTTTCGGTATTTTTTTAAAGAAAGGTGCTCGAAGAAATCGGAATAAAGTGTGATTGTTCTCTCAAGGAAGCAAATGTTACTTTCTAGCAATGTGAAATGTATGATTTAGGGTCGCGATCTAATGGCCTGTCGAACGAAAATTTCTCACATTAGAGTATGTGGCAAAGATTACCATATGGTGCACCCGATTCCTCGTAAAGGTCAAAAGTCCTGACATACATGTATAACATTCTCGGTTTGTGTATATTTTGTGTGCTGTGAATACCATTTTCTTTTGGCACTTTTGAATAATTATAAATCTGTGTGCCGAAAAAAAAGAAATTTAACTTCTTTTTAAAGGATTATTTTTTCGTCATTAAAAACGCAGATGGCATTGACTTAAAAAAACATTCGAAGACGAACCCAATGCATATTACGTAACACACAAGGCAATTTATATCGAGGGTCCTTTGTAATGTAAATCTAAAGATCGGGTTCGAGGTATAATTGCATCAGTTAGACCACATTTTTTTCCGAAACAACTGTCACTGGGAACACGGTGTCCCTAAAGAGGGTAAAATACAGCGTTTGATGGAGGAGATAGACGGCATGTTAAACCCGCGCTTTTCGTCGGACAGCTTTAATTTTGTTAATTACGAATTCATGAGGTCCTTTGATGTTAAAACTTCATGGATATTTTCTTTCTTTTAAAATGCTTAAATTTTGATTACAGTGAACTGAATCTCAAAAAGAACATGCGCACTGATAAAGTATCGCCTTATCATCCTATCACCCACAGATCATATTTCGAAATATTTTTTTGAATAAATATTGAATTTTTTTTTAGCTTCAATGACCCCCCCCCCCCCCCCCCCCGTAACGAAATAAGAATAAAAGGGAGATCACTCTGGTGAGACCAACTAAATCATCTACATGTATATACTTACTGATTTTGCTGCGCGGATCTCGTGGTCCGTCTACAGTGACTTTGATGGCTTTTTGATAAAGAGTAACTTGAGGTGGGTGTGTACATACTGTTATCGTCAATGTGAAACTTTTTCCTAAAAAAAAAATTATATATCTCATTTTTTATTAATGTGGAAGATATGTGAACAATTAAAAAAAATACATTTTATATAGTACAGTTTATTGATATGGAGACAATCCTTTTCTTTTAACAAACTGTTTAATGAGTGAAAACGTCAGAAAATTTAACTGAAGTAAGAAAAAAAAAATCATTAACAAAAGGCTTATTGACAACTTGATGTTAAAGTCGACTCCTTTGTTTAAAATGATTTGTCCATGACAGCTGACGTGATGAATGTTCAGTTAAAGTAGTAACATTTTATTAAGTGTCTTTTACTTAATTCTTTTTTCTATTGTTGCAATATCGGAGATGAGAAGGGTCGGAAGGCTTAACCATTGACGCTTTGGACAGCAATTAAAGTTGATTTATGAAGGAAGGGTTAAAGGGTTATACTCATTTGCACTCCCAAAGTATTTCTAATATAAAAAATGCTAATTTAATACACAGAAATATTACAAAGACTGCCTTTTGCAGACGAAAATAATTGCCTAGTTTTCAAAATAAATATTTGCTAAAATGACTACTGACCAACTGATTTCCCGTCTGTTCCTAATTGTATATAGAATCAAGTTACTGAAGAACTGTTTGGAAAAAAAAGTAAATCTCATCTTTACTTAATAATAATAAACGCCATTTACAATTTTAAAAATTTGATCGATTTTAAGTACATTATGATATATAAAATATGTAATTTTCCACATTGAACTAAAATAGGATCAATGAACAGTTTGTAAGTGCAAGATGTATAAAGGTGGTCTGAAAACAGAGAAAAGGAAGATACCTGTGCATATAGTCAGTCTGAATGGCGAGCTTATACTCCAAGTACTCTAGACAATTTATTTTATCTATATTGAACAGTGATAAGGACAAAAATGTACCAAGAAGAAATTAAGTTCATTTAACACAAAAAATTAGAGTCCTTCACAAGACAGGCTTTTTTTTAACTAAGAGAAGCAAAGCAATTTTAGCATGTTGGTCAATAGAACTTTATTATTTTCATTAAAATTGCCCCCCCCCCCCCCCTGGAGCCAGCCTCCGTTCAACGCCCCCTCCTATCGACCTTTCTTTAAAATATATACTTTTCTCTTTTCCCCCCTCTTTTATGCAGTTATATGAGCTTCGAGAAACCTACTTTATTATCGATCGAACTACAGTAACACTTTACCACAGATTTCAATATATTAGCTTTATGTCCATGTTCTAGAACCGACAAAGGTGGACACTTGAAAATCAGTAGTTATTTAATATAAATATGACTATTAAGTAATTCTTTAAGAATAGTGCACGTCATTTTACCATACAACTAATACGAGTATTGCGTAAACCTACCCTTCAAATTTTTTACTACGTTTTTCTATATATGGTCATTGTTTACTATGACCTAGATTAGCGGACAGAAAAATAAACGCCCACAAAGGTAAATTTTCCCACTACCTGTAATTCCCGTCACGGATACCTGAACATTTTATGAATGAAACTTTTGAAAGGTATGTAAACAAAACCATGAATCAACTTCGAACTTAGATATTCACAGTGCTGACTTCATAGTGCAATCTGAAAGGGTCGTAAAGGGAAACAAAGGCAAAAGTAATTTATGTTTGCAGTCTACATAACGTCAGGTGCCTGTACATAATAAAAAAAAATTATATATCGCCAGTAATTAAACTACGTCTTGTGGAGGAGATTATAATTAATCAACTCGAGAAGACCTCAGCTAGGTAAAAGTTGAAAACCTAACAATTGCGGTGAACCATTGGTAAGAAAATCAGTTAATTATACTGGCCACTTTAGAGTGTCAGACCCGAATACTTTGAACTCTCATGACAAAAGTTTGAGAGTCTTCAGTTCAAATAGCTTTAACTGAGGAGCAATAGATTGATAGATACTTCCGATACGCTGGTGAGTCGCCAAAATTTTCAAAAGACCAGAATGAAATTTGAGAAAGTTATTTTTTCTCAAACAGCACGGAAGTACAGTATTTCCGATTTTCATAAGATGTGCGTAAAACCATGTAGTGGTTTAATCGGTGCACCGCATTTACACAGGCGAATCATTTACAGGCGTAAAGTGACCAGTTCACGAAAGCATGTCCATTTCACTCAATCAGCTGTCAAATGCACAGAGGTCGTAGAATTTATACAAGCACATAAACAACATAGATATACCAACACTTACCGCGTCCGCTACGTCCAACGAAACGCAAGTCGTTAAATTTTGCCACCTGATTCTTCATATATGCCGTACAATTCCTTAATTCAGAACAGAAATTTTCATCGTTTCCCGCGGAGACTTGAACCTTAGTCCCATCCTTAATATCCCCCAGAGCCACTACCCTGAAAGCTAGGGGTAGAGTTTTGTTGGATCTCCAATGAGACGGCAGGGCTGTACACACAAAGTTGGGACTCCCTGTCCTAACCAGTTCACCACCTCCAGTGTCGTTAAGTACCGAACTTATACTTCTCTCCCCGGGCAAAACTTCGGACATGTTGTGAGGAGAGTCCGGGAAGGGGGTAAGCCCGTTTAAATCTGTAGGTAAATGCATGTGGTTAAACTTCAAGTCACAGAATGACAAACACAAGTTAGAGAAAATCTATAAATGTTGACATGAGAGCTACTAGTGTGGTTTTATGAATGAAGATACAATTTGTCGTGGTTTTACTCGGTCTAAGCCACTCCTTCGCGCTGCGTGACTCACATAAATTACTACGCTATAGTTGTTTTCTTTTTACATTTTGCAACATTTTTTTGTTCAAATTTTTAGTTTTATTGAAAGTACAGGGTGCAATTTGTTTGATAACAGAATATTAAATGCATCTTTAATTTTAAAATGTGCTGTCATTTTGCAGAATGTTTGTGAAAGCTTAACCTTTCACGGAACTATTTTTTCTCAGGGATTAGCCCATTTCACCTGTCAATCATTTGAGAATTACCTGTGAAACCCACAGTTCTATTTACATAACAGACTAAGAGTTAACGTATATAGGAGGTGATATACATGATTGATTCTTCATCGTAAAGACGTCGTGTAATCTGTTCCGCGTTTTGTTATCGAGTTTTAAAAAAATGCAAATTATTTATGACAATTGAGATAAAAAAAAATAGGCGTTTGATTATTTCCTCTTTCAGTATTACATGTCAAGTTGGTGTGGTTCTGACACAGTAGGTACTTCGTGTGGGTAGCCTAAATTTGGGATTGTATAAACGGCACATTTGGTTTTGCTGATGAAAAAACATCACTTTTCTATTTAGTAAGAAAATTTACACAAAATAGACATCCTATGATTTTTTTTAATCAATCATTTGAATATAATATATTGTTGTTGTTCAGAATAATTGTCAGATATAAAATAGTAAGTATGTATTAATTCCTTCTTAATAAATAATTCGTTCTTTGTTCAAAAAATTACTGGAATTTCCAAAACAGTTTGAATGACTGAAAAAAGCTGTTGTAATTTACCGATCTTGGTGACCTGAGCTCTTATTATCATTGTTTTGAACATATTTTATTGATTACATCAAAAAGATTGGAAACAAGTTCTATACAACTTACAAAGTTCCTCTCCTTATATACTACAATTTGTCATGGAAATTAAAAGAAAAATAATACAATTATCATTGTTTAGAAACGGGAGAACTGTCCAAAATGTAGTGGAAAAAATTATTTGTTAATTAACGCGAAAATATTTTCATGTTGTAAATTTTGAATTTAGAATTGATTGAGGTAAATACAAAATTTACAACAAGATAAGTTATCATGCTGTAAATGAAAAAAAATAAAATTACCTCCACTTATTATATACTTAAGTAAGTAAGTGAGTAAGTAAGTAAATTTTATTTAAAGTCGACATTTTGTACACAGTATAACAATGAACATGAGCTCCCCTGTTTAAATAATAAGTACAAAAATTTTTCATGATCATGTATACTTTGACTTAGTAAATCTTATTATTAAAACTTTATTAGAATGTCTATGGTGCGTTAACAAGCTGTATAGTCTATTGCAGTATTTATTCAGGGCGTTCTTACTTTTCTTTATAGTCTAGTACATGTCCCGGTTCTAAACCATTTAACTGTTTAATAATAAGTAATATTGACAAGTGTTCCTTCTGAAAGGATCATCCATTTGAATGTTTTTATCCTAATGAATGAATGAATAAATAAATAAATAAATAAATAAATAAATAAATAAATAAATAAATAAATAAATAAATAAATAAATAAATAAATAAATTTTAGTTGTAGTATTAACTGTTAATACAGTCTGAGAAGGAATACAACGTTGGATCGTATTGTTCTCTAAAACCAGCTGAAAAACGGCGCGAAATATGCTTTACTTTTATCGCGCATGCGTCATCACAAATTGAAAGTAGAGAAGTGCATTGATGAAATTATTGTCCGTAAGTGTTTTCAAGTTTAGTGGCCCTAACCATTATTTCTACATTAATGAAACGTGTATATTTTAGAGAACTGAGTGTGTAACCTTAGGGTTATATGCTCTGTGCATATCATTTGACCTAGAATGAGTGGATATTTGCGTGGGTGGTGAGAGGAATTTGTTTGTTGACTCATAGTTGATGTGATGGGTTATATAACGAAGCGTATTGTACATGTTCTAATCCAATATATACATTTAATCTTCATTAACGAACGACTGGAGTTAAAGGAGAGGAGATATGTCTACCTGAGTCCTGTATACATAAAAATTAATGTTATGTCTTTTTCAAAGAGAGGTTAGGCTCTATACGGATCAAAGGGAATTAGTCCACAAAGAAATTGAAATATTAGGATTTTGTTGTTGTTTCCTTTCAATTAGGTCAACACATTTTACCTCACAACATGGGAACCACAAAGCCACATCAAAAAAACCATTACATAACACTGTGTAAAATTCCTAACTTCACTTAACTATGTTAACAGGTCACTTATAATATAAACAGTGGACATTACACATTGTATTATTTCTAAACAGAGGTTCAGGCAGAATTCTCTATTCTGGAACATTTTCATACACTTGCACAAGAATAAGAAAAGTGAAGCCGCCATGTGGCAGTGCTTATTTTAATTCCAAAAACGATTCACATACAATTTCACATTCTTCCCCCTCCCCCCTTTTTCAGCATTTTAGAAACATCTCCAATTTGAAGCACCTGTTGAAAAAAAAATCAATAAGAGAAATTTTGGGACTAAGTTAAATTGCATATATTAATTTTAATGATAAGTAGTATTAAACTAAAAATTTCAAGTCAGCATTCTATTTATAAAATTTTAAAATGATGTTGAGATTAAATTTGTCAAGAAAAAAATCCATGATTTCTCAATCTCTGAACAGTAAAAACTTTCTTCTCAAAAAGATGAAAAACTCAATACATTTTCATCTTCTAGACAATAGTCATATCACATTTTTTGTTGACAAATTGAGTTGTAGTTATAACTTCTTAAAATGGTTAAAGAGTTGAAATTTATGACACCTTTATAATATTTCAAATAAACCATCTTTAAGCAATTTTTCTATTCAAGTAAAAATATGGTCATAGATATTGGATGAATACTTGATTCATGTGAAAACAGGACCATTTATCATGCCTTTCACTTATGAACTTATCCATTTTCATATTTTTAATGTTCGTATTTTCAAAGAGGTACTTTATCATTATAAACTAAGTAACTGACTGCACGTGTGCGTGTTTGTACTTATCATCATGTGGTCTATATGTAAAAGCTTATAGAGATGTACTGTACTTGACACCAGATAACTTAAATAAGAAATCTCCAATATTGTTAAAGTAGTCACCACTAGTAGTTGAGTAGAGATGAAGGTGTTTTTTACCATCACAAGTTAGTACAATACTTACAGAGTGAATTGAAAAATAAAGTTGATACATGTATAATGACAAGTTTTATTTATATTAAGCAGTAAATAATGATAGCTAGGAGTTGAATAATTGGGTAAAAATTGACATTATATATGCTTATTACTTAATAATCGTCAGTTTTTGAATTATAAGTTCAAGAAATCTGTCAATAAGTGACTCTGTATAGATCGATATATATATTTTTTGAAGCAGCTGTCATTTTTTGACAATTCCTCAATGTCATTTCTAATTCAAGTCAATTCTAATTATCAAGTCATTTAATGTTAATTATCATATATGTATTTATATTGTATATTTTTAAAATAAAACAAAAATTGCAATGATCTTTAGTGACAAATGTGAATGCACTTTTGAGAGTTTAAAGTTTGATTTAAATCCATTAGAGTCCACAGACTGATTAATTAAAGGATCAGGGATATGTTCTTTTGTTCAAAACAAGCTAAATTGCTTTCCAGAAGACATGATGCAGACACTTTAAAAGTTAAGTAATAGTTGCATAATGGTTTACCAACATGATGACTTGGTTTCGCAGAATTGTTTTAAATTTCTATGAGAAAATTCCAATTATTTCATATCAGACTTAACAGTATACGTATTATGCATGAACTGGTGAATATTTGAATGACCAGTTGAATTCCGTATTAGATTTCTTTTTATAAGTAAATATTAAGCACATCTGGAGGTTATAAAAAACATATATGTCTTGCAGTGTGGTAGTTCACAGGTCAGTGCCTAGCTCCAAGTGTTTTTAATACCCAGTAAACATAGATTTATGAATGGGAATGGTACCAGCAAAAGAGGTCACTTAGACCCATCATAAAATCATGAACTGTGGCATCAAACACACCAGGAACACTGAAATGGGGTAATTTGTCCAGACAGTGAGTGGGAAGGTATGGGATGGTCAGGGGGATGCTTGATACACAAAAACTCTGTGTGGCACTTTTTTTGTGAGGGGTGACTCATGAACAGATCTCCTCCAAAAACTGTGCTTTTTTTCTTAGGCTTGTCAGTTTAATCTGTATATATATTATATATTTATCCAGAAATTTTTAAAGAAATACACAAGGCTTGAAATATACCACAATATATTGCTGTTTAATTGATTGTACACCTGTATGTGTATGAGTACACTAAATACTTGTATTTTATGGTTGAAGTGTGATCATCAAGGAATTGAATGTAATTTTTACAGATCTATGTAATACAAATATTTCTCAATCCTGCAGATATGATATATGCTCGAGCTATATACATTTTAGCTGGGCATTGAGTAGCTATAATGGAAATTAATTAAATTTTGTTATTTTGATAAAAATTAAATAATAAACATATACTAAAAATTCAATTCAATTTCAATTCAATGTCAAAATCCAGAACTGTTTTTAAATCGCTAATAAGAAGAATTTTATGAACTTGCTGCTCATAAAGATTGGTAAAGAAACTTATTTACATTACTAATCTCCAGTTAATAGCCTCATTGTTTTATTAAAAAAAATGAAAGAAAGCATAAAAAAAGTTTTTTTTCTATAAAAACAATCAAAATATATGCATAGAATAAATATAAGTTATGTAACATTCACTGAAACGTCACCAAATAATTTTTTTTTTTAAAATTTGAGACTGTTGACATTTTGGAAATTTGCAGTGGATAATTTGTGTGTTTTAAAAATCAATAAAAAATGAATAAATAGTTGATCTTCAGCATTTAAACATGATCATTAAAAAGAGATAACATATGTGTGTCAGGTAATCAAAAAAAATCCTCAGACTCAGGAACCTATGTCTTATGGTCTTCCAGGGGTTCATTTTGGACAAGGAAGAGGGGCAAAAGGCCCTCAACTCCATGTCCCAAGGTGTCCAATTTAATTAACTACATAGTAAATGCATGGCATTGTTGAAAAACTTGTTTAAAATTTATATGCTATTTGATTTTTAAAAAATGATTTTTTGAATAATTTATATTTAATGATGAAAGGAATTATGGATCGATTCAAGCACATGTAGTTACTAGCGTGGTCTCTATTATGCTGTATGCCAAGAAATAGAATAATTAAGATAAAGTCAAAAAAGAAAACACAAAAAATATGTCAATTTGCAATAGTTAGGGCTTTTAAAATCATTTTCTATTTGTTATTTACGTAGTAGGATTTAAGCCATGTGTTTAGGAGGAATCTTTTATCCCTAGAAATTCCAGTAACTTTTATTAGATATAGGCATTAAGTTCAAGGCTAGCAGAGTGTGGGTAGAAATCATGAATGAGAGCAGTCTGTTCATTGACAAAATCTGCAGGGGGTCAGACACAAACAAAGTTAGAATGATTCCCTGATTAGCTAGTGGTTGTTTGTAGTTGGTTAGTATCAATAGCATATAGTGATGCATTAGGAGCAGATAAAAGTGATATATTTGCCGTTTCATTGGGTCCGTATCAATCTGACCGCAGAGTTTGTATAGATGTGGGGGTAGAGTTGTGCCACCTACTATGAAGCAATGTCTAATTATCAGAATACCACGTACTAATCAATAGGTGCCCATTCTGCAGCTGAAAGTAGACTGCTTCATATTTTTTAGATACACAATTGTTGCATACTTGTGGAATATGGGAATATGAACAATCCTGAGAGAGAGAGAGAGAGAGAGAGAGAGAGAGAGAGTACTAATTAGGGTTCTTTTTTAACCACTGATGTTTGAGGACACCTGAATAGTATGAGGTACATCTACTGTATATCTGCCATAATTGTAAAAGTTTTGGGATTCATTTTAATCAAGATACATGCAGCTAGGGTTAATAAGTTTTCCTCAAAGTATAAATACAGAATATTGAAGGCAGGTAGAAATACAATGCATTGATTCAAACCATTTTAAGCAAAATTTGTTTGGAAAATTCCCATTGTTAAAAAAAAAATATTTTTTTTGTAAGAGTATTAACTTACTATGTATTTTATTACTGTACAGTTTATGAACTACAATTTGTAATTTATAAGAAGCATAATTTGTTATTTCTTCTCCAGTATCATTAATTTTAAGCTGTTGAAAAATTAAATGCAAAACATTAAATCATTATAAACGAAAAAGGACATTTTCTGTGAAAAATTACTATTTGTCATGGTGAAATGACACATGAATTTTTGAATAATAATTTTTTAAAATGTTTTCCTTGGAAATTAAATATGACTTGTAATTATAATTCATTTGGGGATGTCGGCAAAAGTTATTAAAGTGGCAAAGCTGAATAACTCTCCATGACGGTGATGGATTAGAATATTTTAAAATTCAACAAAAGAGTTTCAACACTGAAATCTACAAGATAAATATACATGTGTCAGATTAGCAGCAAATTGTCACATGGTTAGGTTCTAAGAACTAATTAATGTGGAAGACACAGTATATGCAAATTAAGCCTCTTGTTGACAGCACATAAAGTCGACGTAATGTGCCGCGGAATCACGACATTACATGTCGCCCGTAACCAAGACCTAAATTTTAACAGATTCAGTACAAATAAAACGTGGTTAATTGTCAATATAAATAATCTTAAAGTTGTGCGCAGTTTCTAACATAATTCATGCATGTTTATTTGTACTTATTTACCCTATTTGTTTTTTCGTAAGTAAAGAACTCTCCTGGTGATGTAAATTTCATGAAGCAGTTGAATACAAAACTTGATTGTGTTAAGTGCAGAAAGACTAATGTTTACTGGTTCTGTACGCAATGTACACTGTGTTAAATACGGTCGAGTATTTTAAAATTTTTTGATGTGTTTCATCGTAATTTTTTGGTGGCTGGTTTTATATGTACTGAATAACATAAAATTATTATTATAATCGTATTTCACCCCCTTTGCAGAAAAGCACTTACATGCCAGTTGATACACACTTGTGTACTAATATTTATATTAATTTTTTCTGATTTTAAATGATTTTAGAATGTGAAATAATGGCTACCTGTCTGTCTTTAATTTCAGCTTACTTTTTATGTGAAACCATTTGTGCTGTACACTTACATACCAAAAGAAGTTTGTGCATCTTAGGTATGTATGATTAATTGAAGTAAGTTTTGTAACAGCCTTTAAGAGTACATTTTATGTAATTAATGAAGTTAAGGTGTTGGATAATTAACACTGTCCAGAATACCTAGATGTATATTCCTTAAATCAGTGAAAAAAGTTAACTGTTAAATTTGTAAAGCCGGATTGCATGCGAAGTCATAGTTCTAAATGTATCATGGAAAAATACACGTATTCTGTAACATGCATTAGAAATGCACATGTATTTAAGTATGAGATTGGAGATGGGAAAGTCAGGATGTGACAAGTTGTAAATATATGTGCTTGTCCACTTATATTTGGGGTCCATAGCCATCATGTAAATATGTTAATCTACTTTTTTAATAATAGACGAGAAGCAATAATATCATTATTTTTTTTCCATCAGTTATAATATATAAACAATATTGAATTAATTTTAATTAAAATGTAATTAATATGTATATATATATATATATTTTTACATGTGTACCTTAATGTTTTAGGGAAGTAGTTGGTAACTTTACATCAAGTGTACAACAAAAGAGAAAGTACAGATTGCCTTGAAAACTTAAACAGGTAAGATTAAATATCTCATTTGCCACTTATGATAAGAAATGTCAAGAAATTTGAAGTAATGGCACAAATAAGAGTTGGAGTTTTATAGCCGTTTCCTGGACATCCATTGTTTGGGAAGCAATCGAGCCGTTAGGTCTACAGTTGTTATTTCTTTGCTCTACCTGAGGATCACAAAGTGATTCATTGCTGGACATTGGCCAATCAAGTCTACCTACTTCACACCTAAAGATTTACCTGGCAAAATTAAGACGTCAGTTTCAAAATGATTCATACTCCCTAACCTAAAAAGAATACAATAGTAGGTTATATATACAGACGGAAGGCCTTTGTTTTCATGAATTCTTACTAAGTTAATTGTCTGTACGTGTAATTTGAATCGACAAAGGACCAAAAAAATCTATACGTTTACATAGATATATGTAAAACAAAAATCAGTCTTGAAGAAAGTAAATAAATTTGTAATATTAAAACCAGTGTTAAAAAACACTTGCTGTGCCAATTATATATGTACATTAAGAAAAAAACAAATGAATAAGTTTTTCATAGTTGGGTAAAAAAAATGTACTTTTTGACAAATTTATTCAATTGACATTGTTAGCTTGTTTTGGTATATGAACAATATTTTTTTTTGTAAATAATAACTATTGAAGCTTGAGTGGCACATGGTTATATTTAGGATAGGTTTCTTAACATTTTACTGTTTTAAATTTTAAGTTTTAATTATGACTTTATCATTCCAACTCATGAAAAGAGATTGTGCAATTTTTCAATATTATAATACAAATGTAGCCCTTTCATGTGGTCAACCCTGGCATAGATATATTGACTTATAAATTCAAAGAAAAGCATATCAACTGATCAAGACTGAGGTCAATATACTCTTCTGTGAAGTCGATATATCTAGGATCAACATAAATGAGAGGCTGTACAATCTTTGGGAAAAATAAAAGAGAGTCATTATAAAAGAATGTTTGTTTTCAATAATAAATTTCAATCACGATCATCTAATTATAATTTTCAACAAATCACAAATCTCTGGATTTCCCTGCTTTATGAAGAAATATGATTTAACACATACAGTATAAAACAAGCCAATCAGTTTAATTAATAAAATATGATTGGGTTGTTTAAACCTGAAAAATTAATATTTTCTCTCTCTTAATGTTTCTCTCCATGAACAAGTAGATAACAATCAAGGTTTTAGAAATAGTTTCATATTAAAGTTGCAAATTGGATATAATCATTTACTTTAATGAATGGAAAATAAATTCATAAATTTATGAGAAGTAAAATTCCTAGCTAGGAGTTAGAGCTGTAAATGAAAATAAAATCTCCAGAATGTTTAACCAATCAAAAATAAATTGTGGGAGACTTGCTAATGAAAATCTTATCAACACCAGACATAACTATAGTATAGTATATTGTATTTTCAGAGTTTACTACGAATTATTTAGTCGCCCATGTGGCACAGTGGTTATAGCATTTGCTCTTGAGTCATGGTGTAAGGAGTCAATTCTTAAGTCATGGGTTTGAATCCACTGTGGCACATGGAGACTGGTCTTTCAGATGAGACCGTATAAACCAAGGTCTCGTGTCATAGGTGCTGGCATGAAAAAGATCTCTCACTGCTCAGTGCCGAGTATAGGTCAGAATTTGCAGCCCTCCACCAGCAATTGATGGTGTCTCCAAATGAGTGAAAAATTCTAAAGAGGGACGTTAAACACCAGACAAACAAACAAAACAAATTTTTTATATCTAAATTGGATGTAATTTGTATTAGGCCAAATAAATTACATGTATATAGTTTTGGTTACATCCAGAAAAAGGTAGGTAGGTAGTTTTTTCTTCTTTTTTTAAAGGTACATACAACACAGAGTCTGATTTATAATAATATAGAATCACAGTGAGACATTAAAAAATAGAAAATGCAATAAATTACGCCTTTGTTTATGAAATTCCACCAAAACGAGGACTTAGATTGCACCTCTGCAAAAGAAAGAGCATGCAGGTCTGTAATAGGTGCACTTAAAAATACTACAAATTCCTGAAGAACAACAAAGTTGGAATTTGTAAACTTGATAATTATCAAGACTGTAAATTAAAAATTGTTGAAACCATTGACTTTAAAATATACAGTCACAGCTCCTGTTTCTATGTTTCGTTTATCTAATATTCATTTACCAGGAAGAGATTGTTTGTATGCAGGCAAGCATTATGACCAATTGGCCTCATGTTAACAGTGCATGAAACTGTTTAAAACTTTAAATTGTTCTGGTCCTTTCCTGCTAATTGTTTACACTACTTAATATCTGTTTTTTGCCTAATTTCCAATTGGTAAAATTCCCCTTTCTGGTACAATAACTCATGATTGCATAAATTTTTTTAATTATGAAAAATGCATGAAATTCCAATACCAATAACAATTTAAATATACCCATGCAAGGATCGACTCCAGCAGAGACCAGAATATTCCAACTCTAGTGATGGTTGACATTTACAATTATAAATAGAACAATTGAAATTGAATCTAATGAAAACATTGCTTTAGGATTGCTTATTCATGATTATGAATGAAAAAAGATGTTTACTGGCTGGGAGGTAGAAGTGTTACTAGAAACGGAATCTTTAAACAGTTTGACCAATCAGAAGGCATTTGTGGGAAACTCGCTAATAAACAATCTTACCAACAGAGTGTTGTCATTGATTCTAATAAGCATATGATACTGATTATCATATTTATAAATTAATTTGTTTGTACAAGTTTTTTTTTTCCATTTCATAGCAAAAGTTACTGAACTTTATTCTGATAATAAATTACAATTTTAATCCTAGTTCATATCTCATGAGAAAAAAGGAAAAATAAAATAATCAGAATGCATTTGGGTACATAATCAACTTCATCTATATTTAGCATTAAAGCAATGTAAAAGGAGAAATATCCGTTGGGGATTAAATTTCATTTATTTTATCAACGAAATGAAATTCCACACAAAATTTTTATAGTTCTATAATGTGAAGAAGGTTAATTTCAAAACAACGAAAATTAATGCCCTCGAAACCTTTTTAGAGAACAAATCAATGAATTTTTATCCCCATGAAAATATGTGCTTCTACAGAAGTCAAAAATATGGAAATTAAAAAAAAATTAAAAAAAACAGAATGTCACTTAAGATTAGAAGTTTAAGTAGGTTTTGTTACGCATTTTTTTTTATAACCTTTAAAATTATATTTATTGTACACCCTTTGTTTTATTTTGATGCCACATGTATTACATAATAAAATCTGCAGTCTTAAAAAAAGTAAAAAAAAAAAAAAAAAGGAATCGGCATTTAAAGAAAATAAAAAAATCATTTTCTTCTTAGTCACGCACTTTAAAAATGCATTAATTTTGATATTTATTATATGATTTAAGCAAAATAAAAAAAAAAGTTCCATGAATTGTAATGTTTACCACCCAGAACAATATAGTTAATTGTTGAAAACTCGTAGTTTTGTGTGGGGTAATATTTGTTTGTTTCAATAAGGCCGAGTAAGGCAAGTATACTGTATAATATTGTAACAATATTGTTTATTATTTATCTCTGTCGCATTTGTGTGGGATAATTTTTTTCTTGTAAACATGACAAAGTAAGGAAGTCTGCCTCATGTTTTGAGCATTACTTCGTGGCTCTGATATGAGTGCAGTACATTAAACAATGCACTGTGTGGGATATTGCCATCATTGAATCATTACTAGAGGGAATTATCCCTGAACTGAATTGACTCCTAAAAACTCTTATTTCTACTATATAACTTGACATGGGAAAATGTTGATTAATTGGGGTCAGCTTATTGGCAGGGTTTAAAGTAGATTATGGTTTGATTATTTTTTTGGTGGTAAGACTGTGTGATCAGTTGAACCCAGGTCAGTGATGGATGAACTCTATATTATCATAATCCCCAATTGTGGTTGAAATTGATTCGTCACTTTACTATTGTGTGTAATGCAGAAGCTTTTCCTGCGGCATTGGAGAGAGTTTTTTTTTTCTTGAGCCTGGTTTTAAAGGATATGTAAGACACAATTAAAGCTTCTTAGTCACTTTGCATAATGCTCTTGTAGTGTTTAATTACATTAATGAATCATTAACTAATGAAATTAGAGAGACTGGCTGGTAAAAACTGATCTAGATCTTGATGTCTGCAGGAAGCAGACGGAAAGGGAGAGGTTAAGGTCACTCTCGTTTTTCTGGAGAAAAAAGCCAGATTGGTCGTGACATGTACATGTATATTCCTCCCCCAACTGAGTGAGCAACACACCTTAAAACACTGTTATTCCTCAAAATGGCATGCTGTGAACATCATTACAATTACCTCAGTCGTAAAATAAGAAAAAAAAATTCATGAACACTGCACTGTTGTTTACATGATCATGAACTGATTATACCACTTTTTATAAATGCATTTCTTACTGGGAATTAATACCTTTTGTCATTATAATAGACCTAATTTATACACATATTAAAATTTATCATTGGAGCTTAAATTGTGGGGAAAAAAAATCATTTTTAAAAATATTATTTCTAAAACAACAAGATATTTTTTTTTTATCTCTGTCAAATTAATACAATTATTGTAATATAACAAAGTACATAGCTGAAATATTTCTGAAAGTCATGTGTGAGTACACTACAGATTATCTAGGATACACAATAAAGGTTAATATTTTCTATGCATGCAACAAATAATTCTCAGTTATGTATTTTTTTTTTTTTTTGCACATTAAACTGATTATAGAGTTCAAACAATACATGTAAGAATGACCACCTCACTTTGGGAAGGATTTAGGGTAAATATAATGATGATTCTGTGGGCCGCAGTCACCGAGGACTGCAGATCGTGTTCTGTTGGTGGTTAACAGTTCCTGTATTATGGCTATTGATTTCAATAAAACATTGTCTGTTGACATTTCTTGTGCATCTGCAGCTTCAGTAAGTGCATCTGTGTCAATAATTTATGAACTT